GGTTAGCTTTTATAATGTAAGAAGGCAGTGTGTAAGAAACACTATGGTCTGCTAAGATGACATTTAATAAACTCAACACTTATTCCTAATATAAGATACTCTGAATTAGAGTAGAATGATGCTTTAATAGAAGACTATTTCAGTTCACCTGTTACTTTTATGAATAATGTTGAAATATTGGAGACATTTCTGTTTTAAATGGAAGGCATTGTTTTGAAAGTTCTGACGAGTGCTTTAGATATAAAATAGAAATGAGGGTTAAGCATTGGAAAGGGGGAAAGTTCTTTACCAATGATGGGATTCTATATCTAGAATATTCAGATCAAATTTTAAAACTTAATAGTCTATTAAAAGTGGCTGAATATAAGCATATAAAATAGTATAGCAATTACTAGTTAGAAAATGAGATTTTTAACAGAAAAAAAATTAGGTCTAGTCTTAAATGTGACATAGATATAATCTGAAAGAAGACCTTGAAAAAGAGTATATTGCTTGTCCAAGAAGATGGATAAAAATTGTTCCATCATTCCCAAAATAATGTATAGGTTTGGTGTAGTTTAATTCAGAATCAACAGGATTTTGGTAGGAGTGAATTTTAATTTTTAGTTGATTGTGGTGTAATTGCATACAGTACAGTGTGAAGATCCCAGGTGTGCAGTGTGAATCCTGACATTGCATGTACTGCTGTAACCCACACGCTGATCAGGATGTTCAGCCCGTTCGCCTCACCTCAGGAGTTCCCTTCTGCCTCTTTCTAGTCAGTCAGCTCTGCCCCCCACCCACCCAGCAGCCACTGTACTGATTTCTGTTCTCATAGATTATTTTGCCTGTTTTTGAACTTCCTATAAATGGAGTCATATAGTATGTTCTTTTTTGTGATTGACCTTTTTTGGCTCAGAATAGTGCTTTTGAAATGCATTTGTCGGGGCCGGCCCCATGGCCTAGCAGTTAAGTGCGCGCACTCTGCTGCTGGCCGCCGGGGTCTGCACCAACACACCACTTGTCAGGCCATGCTGTGGCAGCGTCCCACATAAAGTAGAGGAAGATGGGCACAGATGTTAGCTGAGGGCCAGTCTTCCTCAGCAAAAAGAGGAGGATTGGCATGGATGTTAGCTCAGGGCTGATCTTCCTCACAAAAGAAAAAAAAAAAAAAGAAAAGAAATGCATTTATCTTACTGCATGTATCAGTAGTTTATTTGCTGAGAGATACTCCACTGTATACCTTTTTCTGTTGATAGACATTTGGGTAGTTTCTAGTTTTTAGCTAATATGAATAATGCTGCTATGGACATTCTCGTGTGAGACTTTTGTAGGTAAATACTTAAGAGTGGAATGCCAAATCATAAGATAGGTGCCAAAGTAGTTGAACCATTTTTGGTTCAAAGGAGTTGAACAATGTTGTGAATGATTTTGGCAATTATTCTCAATTTTTTCCTGAAAAATAAAGAGATGAAACTCACTCTTTAAAATATGATAAAATGTCTTAGTTAATATTCTTTAGACACCACTCTAACATATGGGTTGAGAACTATACATGTGTGTAATACATAAATATACATATGTATTGAGTGTGTTTACTTTTGAGTGGGGAACTTGATTAAAGTGTTAGAGAGTATACTCTATAGATGGAGGAGTAGAGCTATGATACATATTATAGTAGTGCCATTATTTTGGTTTTATAAGTCTTCATATATAGACTTTTTATCTGGTGTTAATTTTACAAAAATGAGTGTGTGGTTAAGAAAGGAACTAGTGAAAGGTGGCTTGTTTCTCTGTTTCTAGAACACTAAAGGATATGTGAGGTTTTGTGTGTGTGTGCATTAATTAGCAGGCTTCTTTCTTGTCAAAGGTTGATTACACCCAAACGTGGCTGCCTTGTACTCTGATCTCTTGAAAAGATTCTGTGTTGCAATTTCCTTCCAGAGCAGCTTTAAAAATGGTACCTCATTTAGGTTTTCTTCAAGTGAAAATCCTTGATGTATTCTGACTTTTTTTCTGAATGGTCTGCCCTATTTCTTGTTACTCATGCACTTAATCTGATCATCTAGTTATAGTTTCATGATGTGCTATTTGAGTTATTTTGGAAATTTTATTTATTATAAATGCTGTGTTTTGAGCAGTAAAATATAAAAAGAGGAACGGCTCTTAGCACAAACCACAGATTGTTGAATGAGTCATGTAAATCATTCCCATGTATGTGGAAAAATTACATCACTACCCAGTTCTGGGTTTTCTATTTATACTATCCTAGGCCAGCTTTTTTTTTTTTCTTCCCCCCCTAATCCATCTAGTCTTTTTTGAGGCAGTAGAAAGCAAGCAGTAAAAGAAACTCATGGTAAGTTACTTTGGGGCCAAAAGGAAAATGCTATGAAATGAAGCATCTTGGCTAACCAATATTTTATCTTTAGATTTCTAGAGAGACTTAAAAGATGTAAGCATACCTACCTGCCTTTTCATTTGCACTGTTCTCTTAATAAATTCATTGTGTTAATTAAAATATTACAAGTTAATGATGACATTTGACATTTTTTTGTGAGCTTATAATTTAGCAAGTAACTCCAAATTTGAAGGCTAAGTAGTTTTTTTTGTGTGTGCATGTTTGTGTTTTTATTTCGTTGACTTGGAAAGTTAGATTCCCTTTTCTCCCTTTGAAAACATAAGTGTGTGGAGACATCGTGGTATCATTTTAATCGGTGGATGCTATTAAAGGGGCTGAACTTTGTCTAAAAATCTTGTTTTGGTGTTTATGATGCAAATTTAGTGAAAAGAGCTTGTCATGGAACAGGCACAATATGATCGAATTTTAATTTTAGGAAAAAACATATTTATACACATGAATGAAAAAAGTGGAAAGAATATATACCAAAATATTCACTGTCTGTGGCTGTCTCTGGGTGTTGAGAATACACGTAATTTTGTTTCGCTTATATGTCTGTTTGTTTTTGTAAGCAAGTATTATTCTTTTATAAAAAGGAAGAAAACTAGATCTCTTTAGAGTGGTCTCTTTGAGACATGGGCCTTGTTTAGTATTGTATTAAGGCTTCAGTGCACAATTACAGATTTAATGCTACTTTCAGGTAAGTTTTTAAAATTTTAATTTATATAATTAGAATTGCTTCCCAAGTTTAAGATGTTTGTTCCCAAGTTAGTTATGAGGAGGAAGCAGAGAGATCCATGGCAGTCCCATCCGTGTAATCTCTTTCTCCTCATTTTGGGCCACCTGCTTGCTCTCTAATCTACTGAGGTTGCCTTATGTAACTGCCCTCCCTGCTGCTGCCTCGCTTGGCCGTTCTCACTGTATACAGGGTGGCGAATGGGGACCCTTCCTCTCACCGCAGTTTCCTTGTGACATGATAGTCCAGTGATATCTGGTTACTCCCAAGTGATTCGATTGTTCAGAGAAAAACGGATTTTTCCAAAATCATCAGGAATGAATGATTCTGTTGTGCATTTACCAGCTTTCTTAAAGAAACACTAAAATTAGATTATGATCGCTACACTCTACTGTTTATGAGCATTTTAATTAATGTACTGTATATAAAATAGTTTACAAGATTTAGCACAGTCTACATGGAGTTCCTTCCTTCTGTTTTCTCCCTACCTCCTTTGCTGCCCTACTGATCAAATACCTGCAGCAGAGATCTGATACTTTTAAAGTCTAATATGGAGATTAGTGTTTTACAACTGGTGCCTCTCCTTATTCCCCCCACCAAAAGGGGGGAAATGTCTGTCATCTTATTTTCATTTTCATAGCAGTAGATAGCTAATATCAAGCACTCACTTTGAACTGCTTTTTAAGCAGTTTACGTGCATTGTACCTGTATCAGCTTATTTAACCTTTACAATATTTAAAATATGAAGTTATTGGGGAAATTTAAAGCTGAGGAAGTGAAGGCACAGAAATGAGGTAGTTTGTCCGAGGCTAATTTGCAAATGGTAGAGTCCACACTCTTGCCCATTGTATTAATTGACTGTCAGTGCCAGAACTTCTCATTGCTGAGGTAAGTGATCTCTGCCATTCCTCTCTCCTTTCTGTTTGTTGTGTATAGGCAAAGATGAAAATGGTCTGGTTCCTGCTATCAGTTTTATCACACTTTGGTGGAAAAGCTCATGCTTTACAAATACAGCATAGAACAGACTCTGGAATCCAGTGCGCATTTCAGTTCTAGCTGTGTGATCTTAGGCAAATGAATCTTATTTCTAAGGTGGCAGTAAAAGTGGTACCTACCGTTATAAGGCTGTGGGGATTAAAAGGGAACATTTACAAAGGGCGCAGTGACTAGCACGTGGAAGTATTCAGTGTTAACTCTTGTCTACTGTGGAGCTGTTACCAGCCATTGAGTGTTCCCCCAAAGCAGTAATCAACCAGATCTATTCATGTCTGGTTTCTTGTCATATTTAGCCACTGCTTCATTGCCTAAAAAGAAAAGTTTGCCTACCTGGCTTTCTTCTCACTGATGCTAGGCTTAGTTTATTCCATATAAATTACTTGGCCAAAAATATTTTTTCATCAAATAGTTACTAAAACAGAAGCTTAGGTTTAGTTCTTTGCAAAGCATTTCCCATGAAAACTTAGTAATTTTTTTATATTACACTATGTGCATTAATACCATTGTGAACAGTGTTTTCTGTTTTTTTCCACGCCTGTTGCACGTTTTGTGCAAAGCACATTTTGTGCAAATATTGGTTCTGAATCATTATATTACTTTATCTTTGCATCACATATGAATAGCTTCATTTTGCTATTTGTCTTTATTTTGACTAACTCTTTTTTCTTTCAAGAGTTAGACTATGACTCATCATAGCATAATGTTTAAAGAGGGTTATTATTGGACTTAAAGGAGTGCTTTAGGACAAATGCCTGAGGCATCATACTTAAGCTGGAGCCTAGGTGTCCGTGTTGAGATTTCCTGGGAATGAAAGGGCTGAGTTGGGCATTAGACAGTGTTAAGTAAATCCTATCTTGACAAGACAATTTAGATTTGTGCTTATATTCTTAGGTGACCGGGTTATCGATGTGGGATCTGAATGGAGAACCTTCAGCAACGATAAAGCAACAAAAGATCCATCTCGAGTTGGAGATTCTCAGAATCCTCTTCTAAGTGACGGAGATTTGTCTACCATGATTGGCAAGGTAGTAAATCCATTCGGCAGGAAATACCAAGTGCAGACTGACCAAAGACCTGGGAGTGTGGGGTCTTTGGAAGAGTGTCAGTCACTGCCCCAGTGAGGAATCTTGACCTGAGAATAAGATTTGCCAGTAATACCATTGTGAATGATGGTTGCCTTATGCATTTCTGCCATCTTAAAGGGGAAACCAACAGATCAAAATTATCAAGTCTTTATATCTCAGGCCCTTGTTTTCATGAAGCACATTTCCTACAAAAATTAAGTTGGATGTAGATGATCTTTATGAGTTCATATTGATATGTTCCGTGAATATTTGGAATGTCTTCTCTTTTCCCTCCACACCACCTAAGATAAATTAGAGCTCAGTATAGCCTATTTTCTAATATTAGTGAATTTATGACTTACCTAAGCTTCACCCTCATCTGTAAAGTGAGAATAATAGTACTTCATAGAGATATTGAGAGTTACATGGGAATGTGTGTAAAGTATTTATAACACGACATGTAGTGTGTAGTATGTGTTCAGTAAGTGGTAGCCACTGCTGTTATATAAGGCAGTAGCATAATCTTCCTGGCAACCAGGCTCTTTTTCGCTCTATTATCTGAACTGGAAGTAGTAGTGGCAGTTTTCCAAAGGACTAATCAAGGAAGTCTATGCTATTTTAGGATGTACTGTGTACTACTTACTGCATAGTCTGCTTTTAAGAAAGTATCATAAAAAAAGGAGGTCATTGATTATTTTTTCATGCTCTATAAATTACATATCAAATTTGAAAAACATGATGTAGGCTAGGTTAAAAAGTTTACAATATTATATTCAGAAATATTTTTAAGTAGGTGATTTCTGCATTTGCTTTAGCCTTATAGGCTAGAAAAAAGGTATACTAAGGACATTTTAAAAATGTAAGATTGCAACTAATTGACACTGCAACTTTTTTTAATGTTTAATTTTTTTCAATAGGAAATACATGACTCAAAACCAAAAATGTAAAAAGAACACAGTAAATCTTCCTCACCCTTGACCCCCAAACTCTCAGTTCCCACTGCAACCCCCTTTCCCTGTCAAAAACAGGTAACCACTATTATTAGTTACTCCTGTATCCTTTGAAAGTTTACGCCTATATGGCAAAAAAGAATTTTTCAGGACACTACATTTATTATATAGTAAATTTCTGTGTGTTTTGGGGAATATTTATGGACTTTCTTTTCTTTCTCTCTCCTGGTCTAGTTAATCAAACGCCAAACACTGTTTTAATACCCGGTAGCTTTAGTCTTCCTTCATTGCTCTTCTTTTTCAGCATTTTCTTCACTAGTCTTTTCCATTTAAAGGTTAGGATCGCTTTGTTTAACGATCCTAAAAAACAGAAAAACTTGGTTATTTTCGCTGAGATTTTGGGTAGATTTATTTGCAAATTGACTTAGAGAAGATCAACTTTTTCATGATAAAACTTCCTGTCCCAAAACATAGTATGCCTTTCCAAAATTTCCTTAGGTCATATGTGTTCTTCAAGGGATATTTTAAAGTTTTTTTTTAACAAAGGTCTTACATGTTTCTTAAGTTGATTCCTAGATATTTTTTTGTTGTTGTTGCTGTTGTAATTGGAGTATTTTTCTTTCGTTATCTTCTAACTGGTTGATTATACATATGAAGGCTGTTGATTTCTGTTTGTCAATTTCAACCTTGCCACTCTAATCAATTCTGTTATTATGTATACATGTATGTAATACATGTATACATAATACATGTATTATGTATTATGTATAGCAGTTTTTCAGTGATTTTCTTGAGTATTCTAGGTCTACACCGATACTATCTACAAAGAGTTTATCACTTCCTTCCCAAATATGTACTTCTAATTTTTCTCTTTCCTAATTTTAATATACTTAGACTAATTTATATAATTATAATTATATAACAATTACATTATATTGGCTAGTTTTTCTAATACTGTGTTACAATATGGTAGTGGTAGGAAGTGCCTTTATCTTCTGACTTGAGTGGTAATGCTGCTAATGTTTCTGCATTAATCATTTTGCTGGCTTTGGGCCTGGGACAGTAATTTTCTAATATGAGGAAGTACCCATTTGTAGTGTTTTAAGAGTTTTTATCAAAAAATGGATTTTGAGTTTTGTTTACTTGTCTTTTTTAGCAACTTTGGAGGTGATCATTTGATTTTTCTCCTTAGGTCTATTAATATGATGGTTTATATTATTAGATTCTCAAATAATAGATATTCTTACATTTAAAGTATGTGATAGAAAACCTCTTTAAAACCATCTTAACCTAGTACTTTCTCTATTGAGGAATAGGGAAGATGCATAGGGTAGATTTCTTGGGTATATGGAGTCAGACCATATAAATTATATTTTCTTAGAAATTGTTCAGGTTTTCAAAATTTTTTTGCACAAAATTATAAAATTTTGTTTTATAGGGTACAGGAGCTGCAAGTTTTGATGAATTTGGCAATTCTAAGTACCAAAATCGGAGAACAATGAGTAGTTCTGATCGGGCAATGATGAATGCATTCAAGGAGATCACCACCATGGCAGACAGAATCAACCTCCCTCGAAACATAGTTGTAAGCTCTTGTCTTCTCCTTTAAGCCATTCTGGCATTAACTTAGCATAATTTAATGAACATATGAAATTTTGATATTGCAACTTATTAAATGGCCTAGAGTTAATTAAACTTCGTTTCTCTGCTTTGAAGGATCGAACAAATAATTTATTCAAGCAAGTGTATGAACAGAAGAGCCTGAAGGGAAGAGCTAATGATGCCATAGCTTCCGCTTGTCTCTATATTGCCTGTAGACAAGAAGGGGTTCCTAGGACATTTAAAGGTAAGTTTTTAGTTGCATAGATAAAAATATTATCTATGTCACATTAAAGTAACAGACCAAAGTCAAGCAGGTTTGATACTAAGTAGCTAAGTCATGTCTTCGTGGTTACATTTCCAAATGCCTACTTACTTTGTTCCCTGACAAAAATTCATTCTGTGATCTTATTGACCATGTTCTTTTCAGGCTGTTTTCCCCTGTAAAGTCATTTTAGTTCATGTAAGCCCCGTGTTCTTTGTTAGTAAGATCTTCTCACTGACTGTATTTTGTGGGCTTTGAGGCCGGGTGTCATAAGCCAGAGCAAGCCTTTGTAGTGAGTCTGTACACCTGATGCACAGAAAACAGTTTCTGCTCCTAGCACAGGTGTCTCTAAGTGAGGGAGTCAAGCTTTAGAAAGCATCAGTGAAGTTTCTCCTTTTGAGGGATATGGTTTGCACTTTCACACTTAAGTTGGAGGAGTTGAGAGAACTACTGTTTTTCAGTTTGCAGTTTACCCAGGAATACGTGACAGCCTATTCACACCACTTGCTGTGAGACTTACACTGACTTTCACTGCCAAAGTTCATTTTAGCTTAAGATTATAATTACCCTCCATTCATCCATGAATATTTATTTTTTAAGTTTTCTTACGTCAAAGGGAAGAGGCAGTGGCTTTTATCATCATTTTTGTTATTACAACTAAAACTAAGGTTTTGTTAAATTTATTCTGCAAGTGTTTGGTAGTTGAATTTTTAGAGTAACAGTCAAGCGTTGGGTCTCATTCTGCTACAGCTGTAGTGTGGGGATGGCGTGTACACAGGGCGTTGGGCAGCTTGAGGAGCGCTCTTGAGCTTGAGTATTTTCTTTCCTCTCCTTGATATACTTAAAACAGATCAATATATAAATATCAAAGAAGTTTCTGATTACTTGAAGAAAGTTACTTGCATGAATTGAAACTTCAGAGAAGTTAATATTTTGAAATATTAACACCTACATTTAACTTTTTAAAAAAACTTTAAAGTGTGATAAACTTTTAAATTAGAAATTTTAAATTAGCTCCATGGTAAGTATCAGTGAGAGAATTAGAGATTCATCTTGAAGGCATGATTGAACTTTTTGCAGTTAGAATCAGAAATGATAGATTTTTAAATGAACTATGTGGCTTATGTGGATTTATTTATTTAAATTTTTTTTCTTTTAGAAATATGTGCCGTATCACGAATTTCTAAGAAAGAAATTGGTCGATGTTTTAAACTTATCTTGAAAGCTTTAGAAACCAGTGTGGATTTGATTACAACTGGGGACTTCATGTCCAGGTTTTGTTCCAACCTCTGTCTTCCTAAACAAGTGCAGATGGCAGCTACACATATAGCCCGTAAAGCTGTGGAACTGGACTTGGTTCCTGGAAGGAGCCCGATATCTGTGGCGGCAGCAGCCATTTACATGGCCTCACAGGCATCAGCTGAGAAGAGGACCCAAAAAGGTAGGATTCTTCATCAGGAAGAGTAGTGATGAAATTGCGAAGGCTGAAGTGTGTGATTCTATTTTGATTTTAAGTACAAAACAGGTAAATATCCAGAACCCATGTCAGAGGTATTTCCTTAGCGTCAAAACTTAAGAAAATACATTATTTTGCTTTTAAGTGGCTCAGAAATAAAAATATTTGGAGGCACAACCCTGTGTACAGACTTTTTTCCCATTTGAATTAAGTATTTTTAGTCTGTACATTTTTCATTTTTAGAAGTTTTTATTTTTTTCCTGTAAATGTTCCTGGTTATTTTGAAAAGTCCTTTTTTTCCTCTCAAAACTTACCTTTTAAATCTTGAGAGGAGTGGGCCATGCTTTCTTTCTCACTGCCTGGCATGGGACCTGCAGGTAGGCACACTGTACATATGTGTTGCCCATCAAGCTTGAACATTCTGAGAAGCTGTTCTGTTTCTCCTTTGATACGGTAGTCATAGTTTCATAATGAAAATACTGACATAAGTTGTTCAACCTTCTAAAGCCATTTTTGAATTTAGTGTTGTAGGGGAACCTTCAAACAGAAGTATTAAGTGAATTTCTTTACAACCATGTATTCATTAATTACTTCTGTGATCTTCAAAAAGATTTATAAAGAAAAAGCAGTCAATTCTAAATTTAAAAGTGAGGTAGTGCAATTACTAGCTGCAAAAACTTTGTAATACCCTATTCATATATAGAAGAATGACTAGAAAAAAGAAGCCAACCATTAGTTATTTAAATGTGCCGTTATCTATTCCCTTTGGCCTCCACTCATATTCTTTAAGGAAATTTTGAGTCTTCTGGTGTAGCTGAGAAGGTGCAGCTAGGCAGATTATCCTTACCTTCATTCCTAGTTGTAAAGTCTTTCAACAACACAAAAATGTTTGTCTTGGCACTTTCTGCTGCTTGTGTTGGACATGAAGCATTTTCTTAAGGCCTTTTTCTTCCCTGCCCAGCAGCCAGTTGATATTCCTGTAGTTGACATTCACTGGTATCTGTCTAGAATAATGTAATGCAACACAAGATAAGGAAATTTAAAATTAGCTAATTTCACACTGATGGCAGGCATCCACACTGAAAATCCATAAAACCTCACTGATTTGAACTGACTATGAAAAGGTGGTAAAATGAGTTTGTGTTAAAGGGTGTGTTTAAAAAAATCCATTTTGGGGGCTGGCCCCGTGGCATAGCGGTTAAGTTTGCACGCTCTGCTTCGGTGGCCCAGGGTTCACAGGTTTGGATCCTGGGCATGCACCGATGCACTGCTTGTCAAACCATGCTGTGGCGGCGTCCCATATAAAGTAGAGGAAGATGGGCGCAGATGTTAGCCCAGGGCCAATCTTCCTCAGCAAAAAGAGGAGGATTGGCATCAGATGTTAGCTGAGGGCTGATCTTCCTCACAGAAAGAAAACAAAATCCATTTTGGTTAAGTATTTATAACTAACCAAATAATTGTTAAGTGGCATTCCTTTGGGACTTCTTTTAATAAAAAGGAAAAATGTGACTGACCTTGAAGGATAAAAGTGGATGCTAGGATTTTGTAATAGACTGTAGAAATACTCATGAGCTCAATATATATGCTCAAGTATGTGTTCGTAAGAGTGAAAAACATCTATATTATGCTACGATATACAGCTGTTTGATCTCAGATGTATTAAATAGAAAAAAAAGGTGGTAGAACAGTATTTATAGTATCATCCCATTTTGGTTTTAACGTCTTAACGGAAGCAACTTTTAACGGAAGTTAGCCAGGGTGAGATATTGCAGGGGAACTTTTAAATATGGAAATAATGAAGTGAACTTCTTTACAAGAATGTATTCATGGATAAAAAAAGATTTACTGTGGGGGGCTGGCCCGGTGGTGTAGCGGTTAAGTTCGTGAGCTCTGCTTCGGTGGCCCAGGATTTGCAGGTTTGTATCCCAGGTGTGGACCCACCCACTGCTTGTCAGGCCATGCTGTGGCTGGTGTCCCATATAAAGTAGAGGAAGATGGGCACAGATGTTAGCCCAGGGCCAGTCTTCCTCAGCAAAAAGAGGGGAATTGGCAACAGATGTTAGCTCAGGGCTAATCTTCCTCAAAAAAAAAAAATATTTACTGTGAAGAAAAAGGAGAAAGTTCTAAATATGATTACCAATACAGTCATGCACCGCATAATGACATTTCAGTCAACAATGGACTGCATATATGTTGGTGGTCCCATAAGATGAGTACCATGTAGCCTAGTTGTGCAGTAAGCTATACCATCTAGGTTTGTGTAAGTTCTGTAGGGGAGGAAGAAATTTTCTTCTGCCCTTCTAGGTTCTTCTGGCTGGTCTGAGAATTAAATTGACATGATGCAGGTTAATAGGAGAAAAACAAAAGTTTAATAACACATATACGTGGGAGAAATCCAGGAAAATCAAGTAACTCACCCGAATGGCTGAAGCCCTCACCTTAAATACCATCCTCAGCTAAAGACAAAAGATGTTGGGGGTGGGGAGAGTCAGGGACTTCAAAAGGAAGGAAGGCAATTCACAGGCAAGTGAAAAGGAGCAAGTGTTTGGAAAACAAGTGTTTGGCCACACAGAAACAGAACAACACAGGGGACCCCAACAGACAGGCTTTTCTTGGTTCCTCCCCGTCTACCACCTAGTTCATGTTATGCTAAGATGATTGCTTGTTTCCAGACAGGTTTTTTTTTTTTTTTGTGAGGAACATTGTCCCTGAGCTAATATCTGCCAGTCTTCCTCCTTTTTGCTGAGGAAGACTGGCCCTGGGCTAGCATCCATGCCCATCTTCCTCCACTTTATATGGGATGCCGCCACAGCATGGCTTGACAAGCGGTGCATTGGTGCGCGCCTGGGATCCGAACCAGCGAACCCCGGGCCGCCGCAGCAGAGTGCGCACACTTAACTGCTTGCGCGACCAGGCCAGCCCCATTGAGACAGGTTTTTTTATCTGAATTTCTAGGCAGTTAAGGGGAGATAACAAGAAAAACTTTGAGTCTTGTGTTTCTTAAAAATAGCCAGCCTAACAATCCTCTTGTTAAAGAGACACATTTTGGGGTGGCAAATTTTGTTCCCCTTAAGTACACTCTGTGACGTTCACAAAACAACAAAGTCACCTAACGATGCCTTTCTCAGACCGTATCCCCGTTGTTAAGTGACATGTGACTGTATAATAGTTATCACTCGTAGTGCTATGGCCTGAGCACCATTCAAATGCTTTACATATAGTCAACCTTATAGTCAGCCTTTTAATACTAATCTGACAACCCTTTGAGGTATTAAGTACTACCACCATTATTATTGTTGTTATTAACTTTGGCCTTGCTTTCTACGTTTTAGTATGTATTTCCATTATCAGTTTTTAAAAATCAGTATTTTTGGTTTTGTTTTTTTCACTTTGGCATTTTATACCATCATATCTATCTCACAAATTGGAATGCAGGTAGTAGAAGGGGAGGTAGGATGGAAGTTATACTTAATATTGTGATTTTTGTCTTTTAGAAATTGGAGATATTGCTGGTGTTGCTGATGTTACAATCAGACAGTCCTACAGACTAATCTATCCTCGAGCCCCAGATCTGTTTCCTACAGACTTCAAATTTGACACTCCTGTGGACAAACTACCACAGCTATAAATTGAGGCAGCTAATGTCAAACTCTTAAACACTGAACTTTGCCTATTGTACATAGCTATACAAAGTGCTGGATTGAGCCTTTAATAAGGAAATGAAAGACATGGTACGCATTCCAGGGCTAAATATTAATTGCTTGGCATTCTGTATGTATATACTAGTGAAACATATTTAATGATTTAAATTTCTTATTGAATTTGCTTTCTTTTGTAGCAATCTAGGAAACTGTATTTTGGAAGATATTTGAAATTATGTAATTCTTGAATAAAACATTTTTCAAAACTAAATTTTTTGTTACAATTACATGTTATATGTAATTTATAATTTATAATATACAATTGCAAATAATGCATATTGCAGCTAATAAAGCTGATAGAGGTCCTTGTTTTGTTTTTCTTTTCATTAGTTTTTTTATTTTAATAAAGTCAAAATAGCAAAGCTTTTGAGAACCACGGTTGATATCAAGAACTTATTTAGTTTGCAGTTTGAAAGGAGCTGTATATGATCTATTAATAAATATATATATTAAAAAACAAGAAGTGATGAATGGACCTTGAAAGGCACTGGCTTGAGAGAGAGAAAAATGTTTAAGTATGTGTTTTTCCTCAATGAGCTTATTGAGCAGAGATGATGATGCTGGCAAATAATTAGCAGTAGATCAACAGATTTCAATTTTCGGTTGTTAACATTTCATTTTATAGAATCTGTATATCTACAATTCTTATTTTTACTTCGTGGGATACTAAAAAAGAATATTTAAAATGGAGATTATTGGCCTTGGGAATATCCAGGAATTTTTTTAACAAGCATCTGCCCTCCCTCCCCCTGTGAATGTGATGTGTAGGTGTTTTGCATATCACTCCTTGAGGAACATTGATTTAAGTTCTCTTGACTGCTGGGCAATGTAAGCAAAGACCAACAAAATTTTGCCCTTTTACCAGCTAGGTAGTTTGTACGGGGGACTTGAAACCATGCTCAACTGCACTGCTCTAAAACAGGTGTCATGGTTCTTAGACATCTGTAAAGAGGTTAGCACTAGATTAGAAGGACAGTCTCCTTTGGTGGCCTGGTGAGCAGACTCTGGTCCAGAGAGCAACTTTCCCCTCTAGAAGATCAGACCTCCACTGTCATTTCTGTAGACCACGGAAGGGGGATGGGTATTGGGCCACCAAGACAATGGTAGGGTACTCCGTTGCACAAAATGTAGGGTACTCAAACAGTACTACTCGTAGCTGGGGGAGAACACCAGAGAGAAACAAACACAAGAAGACTATAACCCAAATACAAGATCACTAGGCTAGTGGTGAAAGGTATACTCCAGGCAGGCAGAACTATCCTACCCAGAGTGAGACCCAGAAAGAAGAAATCTTAGTTCAGTGCCTCCTCCTGGGCACCATTGTTGGTCCCCAGCACCACACCTCTCCATCTTCCCAGGTGTGGATCGAGAGCAGTCTTCCTCCCCCTCTGTGCTCCCCAGTTTCTAGTGATGGACCACAGAACTTCCCATTCAGAAGGGACTTGCTCTGCAAGCAATAGTTTTTGCAATTATCAAAGGTCAGTACAAGCACATTGTAGAACATCTGGAATATGCGTACTGAAAACACCCATAAGCCACCCAGAAATAACCACCAGTATGTTATTGTTTCTTTTCCGCTGTTTTGCTATGCCTTATTATTTAAATATAGTTGTGGTCCAGGTATAGTAATATGATTTGCTTAATCTTTTCATTTTCCTGGTTACAAAAATGGATTAACTAGAAAAATGCAGATAAGCATAAAGGAGAAAAAAAAAACCCACCTAGCCCCTGTCACTCAGATATGTCAACATGTTGGTTTATTTTTTGTTTTCTATACATTGAAAAAGCTTGGATCAGCGGAACTGATTTTAAAGATTAATCTGGGGACAGAGGGTATGTTTGGTTTTTTTAGGGAATGGAGCTTACACTGTAGGTATTAAAACTATAAGGAATTAAAATGCTAGTTTTTCTAAATTCTCCCTAAGCCACGCATGTGGTTTAATCAGTTTAACTCAATTGCCAAGACTGAAATAAGGAAAAATGCCTAGTCAAAGGGTCAAGTATGGCAGTGGCTCAACTCCTCTTTTCTCCACCCCTGGCCTCACAGTCTGGGTGTTCTTGATAAGGGACAGGTGTGTTTGAAATTGGATGTATTGTTAATGACCCTTTTGGGGAATCATTTAATCTGACTACTGGAACATTTTCACTTAGCAGGGAAGAGGGAATCCCCAGCAATTCCACATTGGGGGCTCAGCTCCCTCTAGCATTCTCTCTCCACCTGAATAGAACCTAGTCCTTATTTGTCTCTCTCCTCCAAGGCTGTTATATCATAAATGGAGGTTATGGTTGGCTCCTTTTCTACTAAAATCTTGTTGAGATGTGGAGTGTTCAATTGCAACAACTTAATCATATTTAGTATGGCAAAATTACTAATACTTAGAAATTCAAAAAATCATGGCCAGATCTTACCAGTGAAAGGAATCCAGCATACTTTGAAAACAATACATTCTAAATCAGTGATTGGGCAGGACTTCTACTTATTTCTTAAGGTGTGAAAAACTCTCCATACATAGGTGGACACCTACCTTGTTGAGCTGATGGTACAAGTTGAAGCCAGCTCCTGTTTGGGCCTACATTTTAGCAAGTTAGGAATATTAGCCATGCAAGGCAATTTCTATGAAGATAAAGTGGATTCATCCTGTGCATGCTAGCATCTTTAAGCAGTTGAAATCTTGGTTATTTATTGTGGCTTCTTCATCAAGACTCACTGGAAGCCACTTTTCATTGACTATCTCTGCTATTATTCTGAGTTCAAGATTTGATTAAAGTTTCATGGAATCTAAATTTGAGCACTCTCGTCCAATCTCCCCATTTTGTAGATCAGAGAAACCAAAAGATCTGTCCAAGTTCACTTAGTGGCAGAGATGGGACTAACTCAGATCTCTTGATCACTCAATCCAGTGCTGTTTTCCACTAAGCCATGCTGTTGAAGCTTATTACACAGGAGGCTGCCTCAGGACTGACTTTAGTTGTAGTTTTCAAATAGAAATTACTAAATTGTGTTCAATTACTAAATTAAAAATTATTTAATGCAATACTTGTATCTGGCTTCTTGAAAGTTCTTCAGAGTAAGTTTTTGAATTATTTTTAAGTCAGCCCAGGTGATAAGGAGTTAATAGCTAGAAATTGTTCTTTGGCCCTTCCTCCAAACTAAATGCTTAAACTAGATGCCTCTTGATAGTAAGCCTTTGTGTTCAAAGCAACAAACATACTTTACCCATGGTTGTCTTTGGTTTCTGAGCTCATTTTGTATCACAGGTGCAAGATTTACTTTAATTACCAAGATGAACAGCTGAGGGGGTCAGCCTATTACCCATCTGGTCCTAATCCAGCCAAGAGGCCTCTGTGGCCCATGCCAATATTTTTAATTGTCAATGGTCCTGACTTTTCCTGTTGCTGGAGTTTTAATCTCATCTGCCAATTGTGGAGCTACTGAAAGATTACCTGGCCCCTAAATACCTCCTCACTCTCCATCTCCCAGATATTTACACATACTCCTTTCATCAGGCTCTCAAGATTTCAAGTTGTCACTGCAAAAGCACCATTCAGTTGATCTGAATGGAGGCCTCCCAGCATCTTTCACAGGCATAAACTTACATTCATAACCCTCACTGGCATTTCTCTGGCTGGAGGCACTTCTAACTGCCATTCTGGGAGGCTCAAGCTCGCACCTGGTGAAAGAGAAGGAGGGAAAAGGTGACCATAAAGCTTGTCATTTCCTCTGCAGAGTATCAGACAGTTCTCATGCCCTTTCTCTGATCTGCAACAGCTATGGCTGGCACAGCCATTATTTGAAATGATAAATGTTTTGAGACATGAGAAAGAGGGAAGATCACTGGTATGCAAAGTATTTAATAAGAGTAAGAAAAATCAAGTTGAAGTGATGTTATGTTGAATTTAAGATTCTGCAAAAAGATATTTTGTTTTAAATAGACATAGGTGACAAAACCACAAAAGAATTGGGTCCAGTCCTCTTAGAGATGTTAGAAAGGCTAGTTTGTTCTATACTGCTCCAAAAGTCAAGTCTAGGCTGGAAAAGTTACATGGAGCTCCCAGAGGAACACGTCAATCATGTTGAATACCTCACTGAAGGTATTTAAGCAGAGACTTGGTTGATTTGTCAGAGATTTCTCTGGAATGACCTTATTTTCTCTGTGGTTCCTTCTAGCTCTATGGCTATAAGACACCAACAAACTTAATGATGGACTCAGAACTCTCAGCCCCGCCTACATTGCTGTGGCCCAACAAATATTATCTGCTATGCAATCAGCTTCTCTCACTGTTCTAATGTGTTAATGTGAGGGGTGGTCTGCTCTTCAGTATACAATACAGGCCTGGGTCTTGGCTCTGATACCCCATTTTAGCTCTGAGACATTAAGTCTATCATCCTGTTCTTCTATCTGCGTACTGCAGACGGTAAATATTCAATGACAGCTCTAAAATGGCATTTTAAGGGTCCTCTGGTAGCATGGACATCAAACTATGTAGGCCAGGGGCTTCTATGGAAGACCTCAGAAGTAGCTCCAGTGAGCAACAAACTGGGCCCCCAGCCTGCTTCTGCTCTGATTGTCTGTTATGTGTTGGAGTAACACTGAAGATCTTGTTTGAAAATGAAGGCTAAAAAATGAATGAACTGCTGTAACTCCTTCATTTTACAGATGAGACCGTTAGGGTGAAATGTTCACATATCACTAGTGAGGTGAAATAACTTGTCCAAGGTCACACTACTAGTTAGTAGCAAAATGAGGACTAGTCCCAGGCCTCTCGCTACCTCCAAGTGCTAATTTTCAAAATGCTTGTAAATTTCAGGTGACGGCATGTGTGTGGAAGTTCTCTGTAGGTTAGGAATGAATAAACTTAAATAAGGGATGATTCTTGTGGTGGTTGTCAGAGGGACACCTTTGTTATGTTGGAGCCCAACGGCAATTCATATCAACAACAGATTTGGGGCGGCCCCGTGGCTTAGAGGTTAAGTGCGCGCGCTCCACTGCTGGCGGCCCGGGTTCGGATCCCGGGCGCACATCGATGCACCACTTCTCCGGCCATGCTGAGGCCACGTCCCACATACAGCAACTAGAAGGATGTGCAGCTGTGACATACAACTACCTACTGGGGCCTTGGGGGGAAAAAAAAAACAACAGATCTTAGGTTGGATCTCAATCACTAATAGAAGCTTCTTGATATTTTATATTGTTCTAAACATCTTTGAAT